ATCGAATTATCGTTATATAATTTTTTCAAACGAATTTATTCTTCTGTAAGATCAAATTTATTATATTTTTGTTATACATATTTTTGTCCTATAACTTAGTAGAAAAAGCATTCAGTGTGTTCAAAAATATCTTTTCTTCAATGTATTCGTAAAGAATCAACAAATGATCGATCTGTATGTGTTTCTTTTGCAAACATTTTGGGGGCCAAAAAAGTGTAGATAATCAAAAAGTCAATTAATGTTGCATCAAAAATTAGTGCATACGCAAGTTTAAGAATGCCATAACATTCATAATAGCAGCCTATATAAAACACGTTTCTTCTTAACATTTTAATTATTCATTTAGTTTTGCATAGATGTTTATTTAACTTTTTATTTAAAAAAAAGAATTAATTTAGCAGGGTTTGCTATACCAGTGCTTGCTCATATCATCAGTATCACCGCTAGATATTAATGCAAATAACATAATAATATTTGAAATTCATACAAAATTTCAATTTTTTTTTCTTCTTGAAATACTTTCGATTACGATGAATACTAATTTTATAATACTATTATAAGGAACCCCCATGAATTAGATATAAATGGACAATGAATAATTAATATCTATTTATAACGCAATAGTATATAGTTAGGTTTTTTTAATCAATAATCTTTTGGCTCTTTTAAGGTTGATATATATATGTGTATATATATATTCTTTTTTAAACGTAAACATTATAATTATCATCTACTTTATACATATTAACAAATGCCATAAGAGTATTGTATAAATGACTATAGATTAAATTACATTCAACCACGTGTTCTAATTTTCAAGTTGTATGTATGTATATATATATATATATATATATATATCAGATATTTAAATACTATACTTTTCAAAAAATGTTATACCCAGGTTTTTCATCATATTTATTCCATATACAGACAGTACTGTAATTATGTATTTATTCTGAATATACAAAATGTTTTATAACACGTGGGACCCAATTCACGACTAAACAGGGGACTCAAAAAAGTTTATACAAACACGTATTTTATTTATTTATTTTTATGCTCATTGAATTTACATCCGTATAATCAATGATACGATTGCAAGCTTGGATATTAAACAGAGGATGATCATGTCAAGTACCTTCTACAAAACTAAACAGTAGCCAATTATGGGAATGCACAAAAATGTTTATATAAATTCTTTTCATTGTTTTTGTATCCCCTGTCCACACTCCTGAAATTTGTCTCAAATATTACAAAACACCTTGCACATATGCAATACCAATTACTTCGTTATTATACTATTGTATAATCTATATGTTTATAAAATGTTTTTTTTTACAAATAATAAAAATAATAATAATAATATAAATTATAATAATAATAAAAATTATAATAATAAACGTTAGATTATATATAAAACAATCGTAGTATCGTGCATATTTACAAAATGTTAAATAAAAGTGTATAGTGTATATGTTACATGAATAACACCGCTACATTTAAACATGTAATGGCACAAAATGTACGTTCTGATTTTCATAATTCTCTTAGTTAATAATATGAGTGCTAATTATAGATATGTAATTGAAAGATACTTTAACATCCCCGCTGCGTTGTATTCAAGAAGTGCAATCTTTTTTTCTACACGTCGAATATCTCTAATAAATGTCCATAACTTTTAACGCATCTCTACATAGACAAAAAAAACACAAAAAGAAGAATAAATAATCGAACACGAATAAAATACTTGGCGCGTGTGTGCATGTTATAATAAAAAAAAAAATTATATATATATATATTTAAAACATTTAAAGAACTAAACTTTGGAAGCAAATTATATTAAATAATATATAAATCTAAATATATATATATATATATATATATATATATGAAGGTATATGAAGTAAATGAAATTGTAGAAGATGAAATTCGTTTCTCGTTGATTGAATTCTTATTAAATATTTTTGACCTTTGGATATCGTGTGACAGAAAAATAATGACTATAAGATCGAGCTGTGTAATAAATATATCAATGTAATGCTATAGTTTTTTTTTTATAGAGAAAAAGAGATGGAGAGAGAGAAAAAATTCGATTTAAAGCTTATTCTCATTTACGTATCATTAAGTATCAAATTACTCAAGTTATTAAATTAAATTTCGCTTTGAAAAGATTAATTATCATTATTTTTTTTGTTACGTAATTATTATGTATGCATGTCTATCAAAAAACTAACTAATTTCTAAATGATTATGTTACTATCTCTTACTTTGTTCTCAATAATAATAATAATTATAATAATAATAATAATAATAATCAATGATTAAATTAGTAATATAATGTATATATACATACATAAATATATATGTATATATATATATATCATGACGATTAAAGAAATCTCTAGATTTATAAATGATTTTCTTCTTATTTTTTGTATACGTTAAGTATGAGGAAATCTTTTATCTAATTTTTGAAAATTTGTTGTATAGTCGTTCTTCGTATCGAATGATTTGAAAAAATACATTACATAGATTCATCACAGGTGCTATTACTGGATAGTGCCATTTTTGAAAGACTGGAAAGACTTCGTCGCGGGCTACTACCTCCCAAAAAGCTGCTACTTGATTCGGAAAAGATTTTTCTGAAACTGTAAAGACCAATCGAAGATAAAATACAAAATTAAATGAATGATTATTTATTTATGATATACGAATTATAAATGTATGCGTACAATTTACGAATACCAGACTCAGATGATTTTTTCCAAGGTGCATCATCTGGTTCGTATGGAAGAGGACCTTGTACGGGTGCATCTTTGTCATCTATAGGTCTGTAAAAATGATTAAAAAAGTCATACAGGTTTATCAAAATCAATGATATAAATAGTAATACTTGAAATTAAATAACACGACCAACGTACACTTCTGGTTTTGGTCGATAATATTCTAACTCGTCTTCTAAATCGGATACTCTAGCTTTCAATTCGTTTCTTTCGTGCAAGATCTCTTTTAATTCAGCTGTCGTAAATCTGGGCCTATCCGGATCGTCCAGATCATAAACAGCTTTATTCGTTAAATCGGGACACCCTTGGGATTTAGATAAATCTTCGTTTTCCTTCTTAGCTAATCCAAGTCTACCTCTCAGTTGTATTAATTCCCGATTTTGATCTTGCAATTGCGCTAAAAAATCCGCCCTCTCTTCTACAAGACCACGCGCTTGCATCTGTGCTTGACGTTGCTTGCGTTTCAATTCTCTTCCTACGACTCCTAATTTCTCGACTTGTGATGTTAACTACAAAAAATTGTAAAGAAATTAAAAAAAACATAAAAAGAAAAAAAAGAAGATTCACAAAAGTGATCGATTATTAGATTCATATTGTAAATCGATAATTGATGCTTTTACATTTTCTATTTCTACATTTTTTTGTGATAATTCTCTATCCCTTGCTCTAATTTGATCGCGTTGCTTATCTATCATAGATCTTAAATGTTGTAAAACAGAAACGTCCACCTCTTGGCTAGCCGTAAAACCTAAAAATAATAATGCATGTAATTGTTATAATGAAATTAATATGGTATACTTAAATATAAGATATTATTAGCAGTTATGGGGTAAGTGGTTAGTACTTTGTTTACCGCTGTACTGACTATCACTTTCAGATTCCCGTAGAGCTTCAGCCAATCGTCTATTCTCTTCTTGCAATCTTGTTACCATCCCAACTAAATCTCGTGATTCTTGTCTCCAATGTTCTTCGATCTGCTCTAATTCCTAATTTAAAATTAAGATTAAAGATCAGATTAGTTGTTCCTTTAAATTATACTAATACAAATATTTTCACATTTATGTATATACATAATAATTACTTTTTCAAATCGTTGTCTATCCTCTGCTTTACCAATTTTATCGCTCTCAAGTTGAATTATTTTAGCCCTTAATTCTTGAACTATGGTATTTTCCCTTTCATTTCTAACAGCTAGATTTTCAAGCAATTCTAACGCGTTTATTACTTTTGGCATTAAATTAGTTACAGACTCAACGCCAAATAAATCTATTAGTTTCTCACACTCCTTTCCTATTTCTGAGGCAACATCGTAGACATCTACTACGGAGACGTCTGATACCACATAATATTCTTCCATTGTAGAATTTTGATTGGGCTTTAGACAAAAAGGCATGGAATAATACTTTTAATGAAAATAGTTTCCTTACATATACCTAATAACAAACAAAAACATAAACAGGATAGTTTAAATACGTAGTTTTAAATAAAATTTCATTTTTTATACACTATTAACGTGTACATGCTTTTTTAAAAATACATTTAAATGCAACGATATTGAACATTATTTTTTAAATACAAGCAGAGATCAATTGCATGCAAGGCCTTCATACATTTTTGTCATATTTAATTGGAACATAATCAAACGTTCATTCTATAACAATAAATTATTGGAAATAATCAATTAAATTGACGATTGTCATAAAGTTCTTTTACTTCATGAATTAATAAAAATTATTCTTAATCAACGAAACGTGATATAAGAAAGATAATTATTTAACATTTATACGTACACGAAATAATTGTGTAACGTTATTTTATTCTTAATTTTGTATTTTTTAATTTTATTTTTTATTGCAAAAACATAATTTGTTTCTTTTCTCAAGAGAATAATGAATATTTCAATTCAACAAGTATAATAATTCAGTATTCTGCACTTGATGACTAACGTATGTGGTGTCAATTTCTTTTTTTATGTGAACTGTCTAAACCAAGATCTAAACTTGAGCATGACGAGGTTAAATCTTTTATCGCGCTTATCTTCCGATTATTCTGATTGGTTAACTCTTTCGAGAGTATCGATATAAACGTAATATCTTCCGATTCTTCTGATTGGTTAATCCTTTCGAGAGTATCGATGTAGACATAATCGATAGTATCGCGATTATTTGCATATTTATATACTTTGGGTTGGCAGCACTGAATCGGATCAATTTTTTATATGTTGCATGTGTTGTGTGCATAGTGCATCGAACGTTTGAATAAACTCGAAAGGATTTATAATAAATATTACAAAAATGGAGAAGGAATCTCGTAAGTAGTGAAATAATGTAACAAAGATTTAAATTACAAAATATATATGTGAATATAAATGTATCAATTTAATATTTTTTGTAATATTTATTTTATGTTTGTTTGTAGGTAATGTTTGTTTACCCTTATCGGTAAATTTAACAAAAAGTGTTACAACCGATGAAAATAATGAAAAATTTATCTTAACCTTCTTACAAAACTTATTACCTCCCGCGGATAGAAAAAATATTGCAGACGAATTGAGAAAGGTTATAAAATTTATATTATTTTTTATAGATATAACCTAAAAATTGTCTCTATATGACACTTGACATGTTTGCAATTAAACTTAATTATTTTCTATGTTTTCTTTTGTAATATTTAGAATTACATATTTAGCAAAATTAAATCTAAAACGAAGAAAAATATTAAATTGAGAAAAAAATATTTAACCTCGAGGAAACGAATAGCACTTGGATTGGGTAAAATTATTAATAAAAGGGGTTTCAAATATACAGATTTATTGCCGCTTCATGAATTATGGTTGAAATATATACAGAGTGCTTTGGGTGATAATTTTTCTTTCAATGCGTCTTATAAACCAACCGATAACAATTGGGAGACAATTAATAATCAATTAATAAAAGCTGACTTTCATGGTGCTAAAATTGCGGTAGTTAAATCTAAATGTCCTAGTTTGATCGGTATTAATGGTATTATCGTGCAAGATACTAAGAATACTTTCAGAGTATGCTGTACAGATGATATCATTCGCAGTAAGTGTTAATGCTTTATATTTATTAATGAATAATTAATAGTATAGTTAATAGAATACTAATCGTGTTTTATCGTTACAATGTTTTATATATAATGAATGAACATATTTTATTTCCTTATCGCAGCATTACCAAAGGAATCTATAGTAATAAATCTTTACTTACATAAACTAACGCTGCAAATATATGGAAAACAGTTGTCCGTAAGACCTATTGAAAGAACAGTTAAAAAATTTAAAAACGCATATACCTTGACATTATAATAAGCTCCAAACGTGTATGTACAAATGCATCAAAGTATGCACGAATAATAGAGAAATCGTTCTCGTTAAAACAATACTTAAAACAATTTTGTATAATTAGATCTTCATTTAAAAATATATAATATAAATATACATATATGTATATATGTATATAGTTATTTTTATAGAAAATTAGGCATAAAACAAACATGTTCACAAAAACATCTATTATAATAACTGTTACAATAATAAGTTATTAAAATACTTGAAGCGTGAGCATTATATTTCTACATTTCAACTATTTTTTGTTCTTTCTTTCTTTCTTTCTTTCAGAACATTCATGTATCTAATAAATAATATGTTTTATATTTTACTAATTCAATTTTTTTTTTTTTTTTTATTATTTTTATTTTTATTTTTTCATTTAAATTTCATATCTATATATATTCTACTAAATGTATAATTTTTAAATATACATAATATTGATTAGCCCATGCCACTATGATACGCTATGAGCAAAATAATAAGGCAACTTTTTAATAAAGATTGCTTTTCATTTAAAGTATCATCATCATTGTATGAACCTTTTCTTATTTGCCACAAAATTACAATTCCATTGGATTCTTTTTTTTTTTTTTTTTTTTT